TAGTGGAGGTCCAGATGTTGTTTAATCACTCTGGTCATTACAGGCCAATAGTAAAACTAAATCCATAGCAGTTCCTATATTGAAAAGGTCTAAATAACACATGCATTAACTGCCTCGATGGTTGCCACATTGCAGGAATAGATAAATGGATCATAAACATTATCTTGAGTTGAGACATAACAATTAATATAAGGTGATTAAAAGTGCCACATTTCTTAATTCCTGTAGTAGCTAGCTTTGTAACTGGAAGCTAGTTACAAGTCTAGGGTGGCTAGGTTTACGCCTCCTTGTAAACACAAACAGAATCAAAGGAGACCCTGTTTCGGCTGTATTTCAAATTATTTGTATTCTCCTCTTTAACATCAGTGCAGATTAGAGTTGTTGCAATAAAAAAAAAAAAAAAAACATGTTTTCTTTGCTTTTGTAAGATTTCTGCAAAGATGTGAACGCCTCCAGGCACCACAGTGCAGGGCTATTTCATTTCAGTGTATGCTGGTGGAATAAACTTATCAACACATTTACAACTTTTGGACCAAGGATAGCAGAAAGAGGTATGAATGAAAGTCCTACTGAGGCTAATGTGACACTTCCTGTTCTGGGTTCAACCTCTGCCCTTCATACAGCCCCCTCTATTCGCAGCTTCTTTGATTCAGTCGTTTATTTCCGTGTTGACAGGCTTTGATTTTCCGCTAACTGACTGTTACGATGTGTGTGTGTACGTGCTTGTAAATCAATAATTATGCTAAGGTGTCAGACAGCTTGCAGTGTGTGCACACATTAATCTCAAAGTATGAAGTTGTTTCCATCAAATTGCTAATGTGGGCACATGTATGTGTGAACCACAGCTTTCATTTATAAAAAAACGGGAGTGTGAGTTGAAGCTCATCATGCTTGTGCTATCCTTTTTCTGCCACATTGCCATGGTGACAGTGCCCTCCCGGGGTAATGGGGACGAGTGCGCCAGAGCTATTTATTCTCTCTTTCTCCCTCCTTCCTTCCACTGTTCTTTCCATCCACCCGTGGCCCTCTCTCTCTTTCTTCATTTTCTTCCACCTCTCTCCATCTTCTTTTGCCCTCTTCCTCCTGCAGCCTCACCGTCTTTCCATCACCCTCCTTCCTTCCTCCGCTCTCTTCCCCTCTGTGATTGGCTTAACGCTCTCCTCCTCAAAATGAGATAGTGCTTAATGAGACAGAGGGTGAGGAAAGGAAGTAGGGGTTGACAAAGAGCAAGTGTTTTTCTTTTTACAAAAAATAAGGGGAAGGAGAAACTTGTGGGGGGGGATGTTTGTAAGGGTTTTTGTTTTTGTTTTATGTAAAACAAGATGTTCTTGTATATTTTTTATTCTTATATTAAGCTTTGTCTGTTTTATTGTCAGGCATTTGATTTTGGATAGCCGAGTGCAAACCATGTGGTAACTTCTTTACTTTCAGGTCCGTTAAAGTCTTATAAAATGTAACATATTTTGATGGTGTCAGCAACCTTCAAGACTTAGTTGCTGGACAGTCCATTCACCACCATTGGCAGACGCTCAACTTTTCCTTTTGTCACAGCCACAAACTTGGATGTACATTTGGGGACGTGTATTTGACAGACTTACACAAAGAAGCGATTCATTGTGAAAATTAAATGGAAAGTATGAAGTTCTACACATGAAAAATGGAGTGTGCATTTTTGTATTCAATCCCTTTTACTCCAAAACCACTGAATAAAATCTTGTACAATCAGATGATATTGGGACATCGACTAATTAGTGACCAGAGGTCATCTCAATGTAATTAAATGTCAATTTAAATCCAGCTGTTCCCTGAAGGCCTCTGGGGTCTGTTAGAAAACATCAGTGAACAAATGGCATCATGAAGAGCAAGGAACACAAAGCTGGAGGTAGGGTTAAGGCAGGATAATCCATCACCAGATTGTCATCATTATCATCCACAATAGAAGGTAAGAGTGTGGCACTGCTGGAAACCAACCAAGACATCATCCACCTAAACCAAGAGGCTGGGTCAGTCATTTTCTTTTCTTTTGACAAGCAGTTAAATGGTCCAAGTAACACTGGAGGAGCTGCACAGATTCACAGCTCGGGTGCATTATTTTGTCAACACTACAAATATATGTAAACTTTTTTTTTAAAGAAAGATTAAGAGAACAAAAGCCATAAAAAAACATTGTTTTCAGTTTGCCATGTTAAAGAGACACCTCAAATGTGACATCAAAATAAAACTTTCTGACCCACATGCAAAACATTACACTTCCTAAACTGATGCTACAAATCATTCAGAACACACCAACTGTGACACATGGTGGCATATATAGTAAAATATGGGACACTACATTTTCATGTTAGATTGGGGTTCATTTGATTGAAAGTAGAACAAACTCTATCTTTTTATTTACATACAATATATGTGAGGGAGAAAACACCCTGAATACATCTTCCCTAAAATGAAGCACGGCAGTGGCAGCATCATGCCACTGGGCGTGTGGGAGTGTTTTCCTTTGGCAGGGACATGGAAACTGGTCAGAGTTGATCACTTCTATTTTCCCATCACTTAATGTGCTCTATCCACAATTCCACTAGTTCCTGAATGTAAGGCAGCTCCTTTGTTTCCTGTCTTTCTCTCCTGGATGAATTGATTAATCCAGCTGTGCGTGACCTCAGTGACCATGACGTTATAATGGCCAGACACACCTGGATTAAGCAATTAATCCAGTAATGAAAGACAGCAAACAAACAAGCTACTATAAGTTTGGAAAGTAATTGAGTTGTGCATAGAGCCCAATATGCACCAGTTTGTGTCCGTAGCAGAGTTCCCAAAATAATTAAGCCTTTGCACTGCAACCCTTCGTGTTTACTGTGTAAAAAGTGTATTTACCCTTTATTTGAGTAGGTTAATAAGATGATTTGCCAATGGAATGAGTAGGAACAAATGCACTTATTTTAAGAAAATATGACTTATTTAGATTTGGATTTTTTCCACTGTGATCCCAAAAACAAAAAAGACAAGAGACTGGCAGCCCCTAAAAATACATATTAACTTAATTACTTCACTTTGTTTTTGCACATAATGCAATTATTTACATATTTAAGTAAACATATTGTTATAAGCATTCAGTTGATTCATTTTAAATAATTAATTGGATATGTAATTATTCAATATTGTACATTTTAGAATTTGAAAGTATGTGTCAATTTTGAATCGTGTTTTACATTTACTTATTTCATGGTGTATTTATTTAATTTCTATGGGATCGCATCAAAAAGATTCATCTTTCCAATGGCGTAACGACACAACAATAGGCCCGTAAGCAACATTATCTGGGTGGGCCCCGTATAAAGTACAACAGTTTCACAGCTCCCCTCCTCACCCATGCTCTCTCCATTCAACTCCCGGTCGCAATCTTTACTCACTGTAGCAGCAACATCCTCCTCTAACTCTTCGGTTCTTTGAAAGAACGTGTTTATTTTGGGAAGACTTTTCAGCTCTTCTTTGCTTTTTCTTTTTTGGAATCCGCCTAAGTAACTGTTTTTTAGTATCCATCGTCCCTAACCCATGGTACGTAACGGTTATGGTTTTAATCTACGCTCTGGGTTACCCATAATTCCAAGTCGTAGTGTAAAAAAAAAAATACTCATATACATCGTTATTTTAAGATCTTTATTGCAGTTTGAAACATATTGTATAAGTGTATTTTTTTACCAACCGTCTAATGAACTATACTCAGTTATTAACAGTAATTAAAAGTACCACTGTCTGCTTTGCTATTGGTGTCGTATTTAAACGGCTCACCATCGTGTTAAAATCTGCCATGTGTTGCTGTATAAAAAAGGTGCGATCAGTCAATCTAGTATCAGCTGGGTGTAAGAGGAATTTTTCGCACCATTACATCTGCAAAGTGACGTCCACAATTGAGTAGGGGGCCAACCAGGTGTCAGTGAATGGCCCCTAAGAGGTTGGCAGCCCATAAGTAACTGCAGTCTCTGCTTACCAATAGTTGCACCTTTGCATCCTTCGACCCCTCCACGGAGTCCTGACCCCCACTTTGGAGACCCCTGGTCTATTACATAAACTCCCAATGACACCAAAAGGTTGTGGATGTAAAGTGGAAGAATTCAATGATGATGAACACATTTGGAAGGCTATAGCTTTGGCTCTACAGGAAAACCACCACACCAAACAGGGACACAAGAGGTACTCTATTAAAAATCTCCAAAAGTAGGCAAAAAGATAGCATCTAGTAGTTGAACAATTTGTATCAAACATTCTAAAACGCTTCATTTGAACACCAAATGCATCCTTTGGTCTCACAAGGACAAATTCAACCATTTAAACAGGGAGGGACAAATGATACAGTGATGGAGAAAAGATTAGAAGGGAGATGAAGACAGTGGGAGGGAAAGGTGGAGCGGAAGAAAGAGTAATAAGGGAGGGTGGGGGAGAGATTAGGGGAGGAGGTGGGAGGGCAGGAGAGATAAATGGCTGAGAAGACAGAGAGATGAGTGAAGTCAGAGCGCAACACTGTGTGACACACTGCAGACGGAGCAGCAGAGGGGCGAGGAGGAGACAGGAGGAACGTCAGATCCCACCCCCTACCTCCCTCTGCCTCTCTCTTTTTCTCCCCCTGCCTCCCCCGCTGTGTAGCAGACCTTTGCTGGATGGTAACAAGCCACTCAGACGGCTGCAGCACCCACTCACTCACTCACTCACTCTCACACACACATAAAGCCAGATTTCCTGAGGATTATGTCATGCATGCACCTCAATAAGTGTGCAATGAAACATTCTCTACATACTTCAAAGGTAAAAAAATAAAAAAGATTGTTGTTTTCCTTTGGGTCACTTTGACTCTTTCTCCCACCCTGGCTCTGTGCAACACACACACCCCTCTCTCTCTCCCTCTCCTCCCACCTGAGCTGTAATTTGCAGGGCTGATGAGGGTGAGGGCAGAGGCAGGAGTAGAAATCGCCTCACTCCCAGACACACTAACACTCTCTCTCATACTCTCACAGGCAAGCAGTTGTGCAGCTGCACCGTTTTCATCTACAGCTGTGGGAGAATCTGATCCTTTTGTGTGTGTCTGTTTGCTCTTTCCTAACCTCAGTCTTTTCCCCTCTCCCTCTCCTTCCCCACCTCCTCTCTCTGTGCTCCCTGTGCCACTGTGTGAGTGTGTGCGTAAAACGTGGGGATAACAGACGCTCATGTGAGCAGCCTCAGTGGCTGGCTGGCTGAGAAAGAGGACAGGAGAGGACAGGGATAACAGAAGCCACCACCATCATTCTGATCGGATTCACACCAGACATGTGAGAAGATGTCCGTGGGCGGCTGCGCGTGTCCCGGTGAGTGAGCTTCCCCTGCTGCTTGTTGCTGAGTTTCTCTGCTTCTTGTTGTGTGTTTTGGTTGGTAAGTGCAGCTGCTGCTGTGGAGGAAAAAAAAAAAAAAAAGACACCCCCAGGGGCCCAGAGGTCCTGTTTGCAAAGACTCATGGGAGGTTGAGAGGATGGAGAGCAAAGGCATACAGTAAATGGAGCAACATGTCTGGTTTCAGTGAGTGAAAATGAAACGATGGAGATCTCTGTTGGCTCTACCCACATCTGACCACCAAGTTGCTGTTGCCATGGAGCCACTAATGCAACTTCTCAGTTTTTTTGCTCCTTGTTGCTTCTGCGGGTCAAGTTAGCGCCCCTGCTCTGATTTGTGTGAGAAGAGAATCAAAGCGTGATATTTGCAGGGCAAAGCTCAGTGGCACGGATCAGAGGCGTGCATGATTGATTGTTGCACCTTTTTCCCCCCACAGAGGAGCTATTAATGAATGTCTGGTGTCTCAAAGCGCACAAGGGAGTTTGTAATTTAGGATCCATGATGGGCAGAAAGTGGTCAGGAAGGCAGATTGAATTAGAAAGTGTCAAACACCTAAAGCTCTGCCATGTTCAGGTCTAATGAGTTTTAACATGTGTTTGTAGATTTAGAATAACTTCCATGGTGTTGACTCCTCTTGGGTTTCTCCACATTTCGTTGCAAACTTCAAAACATTTCATTGGTGCTTTTATGTGACAGATTATCATAAATTAGAACAATTTTTCATAGTGTTTTAAAAAATAGAATCTTGAATTCAGTTTTTAATTTAACCAATTCTAATTGAATTTACAGTCTGGAAATGTTTCAAACTGTTTCAAACCACTTTTGCTCAACTAGAAACCAAGTTTTTTCAGATTCCTTCCAATTGCTTTACCCTTTATAGAGCACTCAGTTATTGGAATCCAGGACTGGACCTCATTACCTTTCTTGCATTAAAAAAATTGATATTTTGATGGCAAAAATTAATTTCGGTGTAATAACAGGAAACGCCAACTTGCCCCAATATATTAAGAAAAATAATAAAAGTTCTTCTATAATAGACAAACAAACTATTTTGGGTACAACATAACCTTAGAGGCATTAATGCTGATACTGGCACTTAAATTTTTTTGTTTATAAACCTAAATATAAGTGCTAACTTTGCTTAATAACTTTTTAACTTAACTTTTTAACTTTTCAATTAGCCTTTTACCCTTTTTTTTCTTGAATTGTTAACTTTTGCTTTTGAACTTAATTTACAGGAGGTAATATATCATTAAAGGCCTAATTTAATTGGTCAAATGCCAAAATAAGATGTACAGCCATGTAGCAGGGTCTTTAATGAATAGCTGGATATAGATCTAGTGCCTCTAGACCTCACTGAGGGACGAGGGGACTCCATTAGTAAGGCAAGTGATCAAACATGGTGACTTGCCCTATAAAGGGTTAATATCAATCAGGTTTTATGCAGAGCAATCACAACTCTCCATGGGATTAGGGTCTGGACTTTGATTTAAATCGTCTCTTTGCAGCTCTTGCTGAATGTTTTGGGGTATGGATGGGGGTATAGTCCGAGCCGTGGGGTCCTGCTGGAATGTGAACCTCCAAGACTTTTGCAGTTTCCGAAAGGTTTTCTGCCATTTTTGTCAGTTTTTTTAGCTTCATACATCTTTCCAGCAGGTTAGACCTGCTCCCCCGTCTGTCATGAAGAAAAGTCGACCCGAAGCATGATGCTGCCAACACTGTGTCTCATATTTCAATTATATGTTTCTGTCTCTGGGTAGGAATTTTCAGTTTTGTCCTTGTTTGGTTTGAGGAACTTATTCTTTCATTATCATCCCCTTCTTGTCCGATTAATGCTGGTCAATTTAGGTTGGCGTCCCTCTTTAAATCAGAATTTAATTGACAGTGTCATCTGTAGAACAATAAATTTGACATCAGCTTCAATTTGCTCTCAATTAAGATGTTTTACTATAATTATATGTTTTAAAAATCAACACTTTCTCTTTTGGATATTTATGGATGCATGTTTTTTTCTTCTTTTTAATGAAGACATTGGATTGGTGCAAATAAAGATGGTATTCCTTTTTACAGAGAGACAGTCTTTCTCTGTGTCAGATTGAGTAAATAAAACCATGTAGCGCCAACCTAAGGGTAAAAGTCAAAACTGTTGATGGTGATATTGAAGGTGACCAGCAGTGGCTGTACCTCTAGAGATGTCACAGCACGCTGAGTTGTTCCTTCATCTTCTCAGTACCTTATTCTACAGAGGCAGGTGTTAATATTGAGTTTATTGAGGAAATTCAGGGTGAATCCACAATAAGGCAAACATTTATATTGATTTATCACAGAAACTCCCAAATAAACTTGTATATTTGTCTTTTAAATGTGACAAAATGTAAAAAAAAAAAAAAAAAAAAAAAAAAAGGTAGATTTATGTCAATACTGCTTTGTCCTCTACTTTAAAGTTAAGAAAGCATAACACATTAGCGTTACTTGTTCCAAAATTTTCCACTTGGCGTCCACTTTGCTTTTGTTTCCGCCTTCATGAAAAGCATAAGTTAGGTTGACCCTTACAGCCACTAGGGGTGAGTACTGGCATGGGAGATAGTTGGGTCATGATACAATATTATCATGATACGGCAAAATCATTATCAAAATTAAATGTATATAGATAAAAAAAGAAAGTGCTGTATATGTTTTAAAAAAATATATATTTAGTTATTTTGGTATCCATGTTTTTGGGGTTTGAATCATTTCACTTCTTCCACTGTGACTGTGTCATGTTAATATGGTGCTGGTCCACACAGCAATAGGGTTCCACAGTTCTATCTGCTATTTTCCCTCATTGTTTTAGGTAAACTTTTTTGTTTTTTTGAAATCGATATTAGGAACTGAAATATCAAAATTATATCCGACAGCCAAACATCACAATATATCGCTGAAATAATTTTTTCCCACACCCCTAAACGCCCCAGGGAGCTGAGTGGAACATTTATCCATCATATCTCACTATACTGATGGAAGTGTGACATCTGAAGAGCAAAAGTTGTGTTTAGGTGACAGCAAACAGATGATCCTTCGCATTGGGTTAACTTTAATCAGTCTAAGGAGAACAGAAACAAGAAGAATTGAGGTCTAGAAATAAAACCCCAGCTCTGCGGAGCCGCAGGCAGTCTATTATTAAGTGTTACAGCGATTTATGTAGCACTCCTGATAGGAGGTGCAGGATGTTGAAATATAATCCTCACGCTAAAAATCTATTCATAATCATGACAGATGTGCCTTCACGTCTGCAGTATAGTGTAATATTTAGCAGCAGGAGCGGCAAAAGTATAGCATGAGAAAAGTTGTGTGGAGAAGGCCTCCTCTCTCCGCCTCTCCCTCCAGGACCACAGCAGCCACAGCGGTCAGACCTCAAACAACAGGGCTTGTGGATGAGGGAATTTATCCAACCGCTCATCCGGGATCACGTTTCTCGACTTTAGAAAGAAGTAAACCCATAAAACCTTTGATTTGAAAAGTGAAAGTGAGCAAACCGGGGAGCAGCTTCTTTCTGTGCTGCAATAGTTGAAGCAAGATGATCCAGGAAAGTGTTGACAGTGCTCTGAAAACTGACAAGGATTCACACACTCACAAGCAAAACAGATCTTGCATCAGCGTAGCTGCGTGCACACATCCGCCTTCGTTCAGACGTGTGTTTTCAATCTGTGTGCAGCGCCCCGTGCTATGAAGGCAAACGCTGCCACCTCAGCCGTTAAACGAGCCTGAGCAGCAGAGGAGGGAGCGTTTGTTTAGAACCTCGGCTATCTTGCGGTCGGATTGCATACTTAATCAACTTGGTCATGGAAATTTCCAAAAAAGACATATGACTGCACTCACTCTGGCTCTCAGACTTTTTTTTCACTCTTGTGTTCCCCCTTCTTTTGTTGCCTCAGCCTCTCTCATTTGCTCTTTTTTTCCCCTCCAGGTTCAAGTTTAAGTATCAGATAGAAAAAGGCTGAGCTCAGACTTTTACAAACAAATGGAAGATCTTGAATTTAAAAAACAAAAGAAGGCTTACAAAGTGTTTGGATTTGTAAAACCCCACCTGTACTCCCTCTCTCTTTCACACACACAGAGACACTGAGGTAACTGAAAACCAATGTAAACACAACCTCCAAATACAGGACAATCATCTCCATTCATTCATGTTAACTCCAGATGAACCCCAGGCTTGACCCAGCAGAGGCGGTGGTTTAATTTGCACATTTACAGCCACGTCACTGCTTCCTCTCTGCTTTTATTACATTAAAAAAACAACTAGCAGTGCTACAGCGCCTTCCATAAGTATTCCTATAATGACCTTTGAGCTTTTAGAAAATTCAAAGTATTTTATTTGGATTTATGTGAAAGAACAGGTAGCGCACCATTGGAAGGATATTTACACATGATTTTTTATTGTTTTTTGTTTTTTTTTACTACTTAAGCTCCAAAAGGTGCATTTTATTTTTATTTACTTTGGGGTTACGCATTTATGTATCAGGTTTACACATCTAGAAACTGAGGTTTTTGCAGATTTTTACCTGTGAAATAGCTTAAGCTCAGTCAGGTTGGATAGAAAGCGTCTGTGAATATCAATTTACAGATCTTGCCAAATATTCTGAGTTAGACAATATGTGGACTTTCATTGGGCCACTCTTTTACATAAATTGATTTTGATATTACTGTAACTTTGGTTGCTGTCCTGTTGGAAGGTAAACCTCCATCTCAAGTCCTTGTTCTTCATCAGCTTACCAGCACAATGGTGCCCCCACCATGTTTTGATGTGTGGTGTTACATTTCCACTACACATCTTGTATAAAAGAGTTCAGCTGTGGTCAAGTCTGACCCATGGAGCTTCTGCCGCCTGTTTGGTATGAAACCAATTTAAAACTACAAGTGGTGGCCTAGTGGTTAGGGCATTGCACTTGGATCCCAGAGGTTCTGAGATCAAGTCCCACTCACACGGATTTCCACTCTG